CATTTCTATCATACATAGTTTTTTACTTTTGCAATGAAAGACTGAGTTTATGTTCTGAGGCAAACCAGCCAAGACCTAGAAATCATTAGTAATGCTTTAATATAAGGCCCAGTGGGAACAGGAGTGTTGGCTTCCATTTTATGCCTAAAACTCCCCACAAGCCTATAAATAGGGTTTCATAAGCTTCGGGTGGGCCACAGAGAATGCACATAGACACAAACGCACCTTTTAAAATCTCCTGCCCACTTCAACACAGAACCACAAACCTGCATGGCGTCTCCACCATGTGAAATGCTTTAGCCAGCATCTTGTCTCCTGTTGCGGTGCTCTGCTGGTAATTAGGCTGCTGTTGTTGCTGCTGTCACCAGTCATATTCAACACTATTGAGGCAGGGAGAAGAAAAGGGCTAAAACAATATTGCCCTAGTCGTAAATCCAGTGTAATTATGCTTGGGTTTATGTGCCCTAGGGAGTCAAAAATTCCCTTACACGACAAGAAGTACATTGCCAGCACAAAATCAACGGCAGCTTCAGAACACCTTGGTGGTGAAACCACCACACTGTCAAAATGATAAAGCTAGAAATGGTGCTAATTTTGTTTTCTAATCATACTGAATTAGGGCACCTGACTTCAGGCCATTGTTCACTGACTCGTGCTTCTATGAAACCCATATCTAGCTCCAAACAGAATGAAATTGTGCAGTCACAGCATAACAAACATTATTCAAGGCCACTGTAAAATGAGATGTCAACCAAGAAAGATTTGTGGCATTAAGGGCTTTGGTCACACATTGCCTTCTTTGTACGGACAAATAGAGGACATACATCAGACCATTTGGTGTTTCACATAAAGAAATATGGGAAGAAAAGAAACCTCTGATCAGCACCACGTTGGGCCCTGCAAACATATGCCACACATTGCTTAATGTCAACTGTCTAACTAATAACTAATAAGAAGTTTTAACACTGAACTCTGAAATGATATGAAATATGTGTAAATTTAGCCAAGTTCTACCTTGATGTTGTCTGACCGGCAAAGGTCCGTGCGTGAAGTAAAATTTATCTGCCGTTGGTAACATTGTATGATGATGGCAGGAAAATGACAATTATGAATTTTGTTCAAGTACAAGTTGGATAATGGAACAAGCCGACGCTTCGGTGCGCTAGTCATTGCACGTCTTCATTCAATGAGACAATAACACAGCATAGTGCAAAAAAACATTGGCTCTGGAAAAATGAACTCACATGGGGTAATGCAAATAGGACAGTAAGATTAGGTAATACCCCCTAAACTGGCAATTTTCATCATACAATGTTAACAACTGCAGATGAATTATACTTCACACATAGACCGGCAAATTACTCTTCCATAGGCACATTTTATTTATTTATTTTTAATTCAGATTTTATCGCTGTCATTTGTTGGCTAGCTATGTAGTGCTATCCAAACAAACAAATGCAATATACAATATGCAATTCTGGCAATAAATCTGTGTCCTTTCCCCTAATGGGGGTTGTTGGAGTATGGATATTAATGTCATCACTGCAGACACAGTATATTTCCACTCTAGGCTGATGGCGAGTTGCCTGTCGCCTACCTCTGTGCCATTTTTAGTTTGTGGCGGCTCTGGCTGGCCTCGTTGCCACCTTGCCATACAGTGCCACGTGTGGGCAGGCGCTGGCTGGGGGCCTCTCCCATCTCCTGGGCTGCTGCTGCTGCTGCTGCTGCTGCATGGTGGGGCTCCCATGGGACGGGGCTGTGGGGCGGGGTGGGTGTGGGGGGACTCGCCACTGACTGAAGCACACTAGTGGTCTTAAGGAGCGCTGCTGAGGGGAAGTCCTGTGCGTTTGATGTAAGGACCTCAGAAAGCCTGTTTACACAGGAGGGGGAGGGGGGAGCTGGCTGGCTGCACAAGAATGCCTGTGTCATGACGGGAGCGGCGGAGAGGAGGAATGCATTCCACAATCCCAACACTGTCGGAGCCGCGCCAGGGCTGAGGTGGCAGCCATTTCTTCCTATTTATTTTAGCTCCCTCTTCACTCAATCACTGGCCCTGTCTATGGCCCTAAGCATCCCTGGAAAAATGAAAAATGGCCTTTGCTTTTATTTATGGCTTGAGATTTCTAAGTGTTTGCCAGAACAGTGTCTTCACCCAATGTGGGTGAAATATAAAAACTGTGAAATGTTTTGCTTTAATCATTTATTTACTCTGGGGAAGTTTACAGAGCACAGAAGAGTGCTCTGCCTGACCTTCTTCAAGAACAGACATTCATACTTAGGAGATTTCAGTGGAGTCATAGTTCATTCTTTTCAGGTTTGCAAGAGAGTTTAGTCTTTATATTCAGTCAATGTGACCAGGTGGGAATTCAAAAAACTGTAGTGAGATGGATTTAAATGTCCTTATCTTCCTCCAAGAGCACTGCATTGTGGGTCAATCAACACATACGGTTGAATGGTTATAAACAGATGCTTATGTTCATCTGATTCTTCATGTGATCTTACCTGGTTTAAAGCCTAGAGACGGTTAATTCCAGTACAGAGTGCAGATTCATTGGTCAGGTTCAGCTAAATTCACAGGCACTGGAATGAAATTTGTTTTGATTCACCCCGCTGCCAAATTTTCTAGCAAGGCAGGACGAGGACTTACCAAAACGTCTTTAATACACAAGCTACGTGTGAGTCCATGTGACCTTTGTTTACCAACCCTGGCTTGTTTGTAAATGGGCAGCGTGAACCTACATGAACCCAATTTTTAGTTCAAGGCTAGCAGTGTGCTGGCAGACTACAGGCAGAGGTTTATGGACCAAATGGATGATGACCTCCCTCGCCTTCAGTTTATATTCAGTTTGAGGATCAGAATGAAGAGTTCCTGGCCTTAAACAAATGCAAAGGGACTCCAGCTGGCCACAGCCAGGGGGTCTGCAGTACAATTTATTCTGAAAAATTCTACAATTGGGACCATTATCCAAGCTGTGCAATACAAAACATCAGCCTAACAACTATAGCTTTCATAGCTAAGAGTGTTGATGGTATGTATGCGAAGTGCACTACATAGCTTATGGCCTCTGATCAAAGCAAAAGAGGGACATTTTAATCAGTTGCTTTTTCTTTGCTCTGTTATTTAATTGAGCATATTTGCACGTGGAGGTTTATAGTATGAGAATTAAAAGTTCATTATTACGGTAAAAGTATCACATGTTCACCTCATGTACTTGGAATTTTTAGTGCACAGAAAAAGCTAACAGAAAATGTGTATCTTTTGCTTTGCTGATGCACACAGTGGCAAAATTCAAATTGCAGTGTTTCTGTTAATGAAATGTTTTATGTTTATAAACTCTGGATTTTATTAAGTAGTACACTTGTGCTTGCATGATGTTGTAATAATAGAGAAGCTCTGAGAAAACAATCTCCTCTGCATTAAAACATTTGAGGAACTGTTTCAAACAACCTAGAGTGCACTTAAGGTTCGACTCTTCATTTCAGTTTGAGATTATGTCAAACAGGATTAAATTATATCAAATACAAGACTAAAAAAAGGGGCAATTTTCCACCGCGGTTGAGGTCAAACCAAACAAACAATAGTCATAATCACAGCCTTACTGTTGGCAAGCAGCTCCAGCAAAGCAAAAACTGTCTCGCTCAAAGACACCCTGATGATTCATTCACATCCCAGTAAAGATTTTCCCTGCCAGGTTTTCAACCTGCAATTCTCCTTCTGGCTGCTTTTATGACCAACCAAGCTGCTGATGCCCGAAGGAAAGTTATATTTTCATTCATTATAGTGGACCGTAAAGCAGCAAAATCTAAAGTAAGTGATATCTGTGGCCACCCTGTCAGTTCTCAGAATAGGAGTCATTTGCTCAGGATTACAGAGGGGACCAGACGAAGGATTTCACAACAGCAGTGCTCCCTGAGAGGTTTAATAGAGACGGCCTTCAGAGTGTAAAGCTAAGCAGTATTAGGGAGATGTTAAGTACTGGCAGGCCGTTCCATCAGAAATAGAAGTATTAGCCATTTCATGGTGTGATTCAGCAAGTGCAGGGGGGATCGAAAACTGTCAGGCCAGATAATTCACAGAAACGTCCTTTGAAGTCAAATCAAAATTTACTGTTATATAACTATAGTGAATAATCTGTGAATTGTAAAAAAATGTTAGTATAGATATAGAATGTTTGCGTTATGGTGCTATGAAGCACTATAACACAGAGAACCAGTTTTTGTTCATAAAAAATAGCCATGGTTTGAATGTCCCAATAGCAGTTTAGCAAGGTATGAGCAGCTTTTACTACCGAGTCACAGGCCTGTTATCCGTGCACACTCAATGGATTTCGAGTGTTAATGTTGGCTGTTAGCATCATAAGCTTTCAGAGCGTTTATCTGACAAAGCCAGCAGCCCAAAGCTTCGTTAACGGAATGCACAGTATGTCCGAAACATTCACCGTGTGTGGTACAGTATGTCACATGCTAACTGAAATACACACTTGGTCAATGTTTATTTTCACTTTCAATTAATCTGAAATATTTGCCAAATGGTTTAGTCTGTTTGCAATGATATAAAACAGAGAAACCCAATTATGTGAGAACCAGAAAATGGACCTGGCAGTTTTGCTTTATGAACCAATGATTTACAAATAGTTGAGCGATTTGTTTGCAGTTGCATACATACAGTATATAAAACAACAGCCAGGAATCACCAAAATGTATCCTCTATCACCGTGACCTCTGGTATTTACAACATTTACACATTCTGTATAATACCTGCAGCTAAATGAGACACTCAATAATACTGATTCAACCCTCTGACAGCTTTTGTGTTTTTTAATAAGTGTGGTTTTCTGTGGTTTTCTGTGTTGATCGAGGTGTGAATATTCTCAATAATCATTTTAACATAAAAGCCCTACAGCAACAAACATTAGTGTTTTCCGGTAACTGCTCACCGTTTGTGATGTGACCCACACCTGCACGTCATCCACATGTGCCCTGTCTTGATCCCTGTACAGAGCCAGAGCTGGATGTTGCAGGGACGCTTGACTCTGTGGCCCGGCAGGTCAATGAGACTGTCCACCGTCGCCGCCGCCGCCGAGATGCCGGGGAGGACGACTACAACATTGAAATCCTGCTGGGCGTTGATGACTCTGTGGTTCGATTTCACGGCAAGGAGCACGTTCAAAATTACCTCCTCACTCTCATGAATATTGTAAGTAACTGCCACTCATTTTTCTTACCACCTTGAACTCTCCAGTTGCAGTGTAATGCACTTTGAATCTGAGTTGTGTATATGCATTGGTCTTTGTGCTGCACAGAATTTAACAGGGATGTGCGTTTTAGTAAGCGTGTTGATACCAATGTAAGTAGTTTGGAAGGACAAATTCTGTCCAGATACATAGAGCCAAAATCCTTACACCACTTCCCGTCTTGCCTCTGTACCACTACCTTCAGTAAAGTAATGCAATTTCCCCATGTGTTCCTGAGGATCACTATCCGTGTTCTACGATAAAGGAGTATCTACTCGAGTATCTACTTGCTTTTTTAACAAGCTTCTGCTTCATCTTGCTCCTTTTTTTATTGTTTAAAACACTTAATAGATATTCTTTTTCCTTTCTTATGTTGCAACGCTCTTATTGTATTTTCATATTTTATTTTAGTTTTAGTTTTGTTCAAAAGGAAGAAAGAAAGGAAGAAGTTGAAACCTTCATTTTGTCAACATCATTAAACAGTTATTATGTTAGAAAACAAATACAGCTCCCATTATAATATACCTGCACAGCATGTAGCCTACTTACAGTACATCATCATAACTTAGTTTGCTCCATATCTACGATATCCACCAACAGTCTCTGCTAATGTTCTTGTTGTTTTTTTAAACATTTTGGGCCTGATTTACTAAAGGTTTCCGTGAGTGAAAACGTGTGCAAACTTGATATCACCAGCAAATTAGCACGTAAGCTCTACTAACGAATGACGTCTTTCAAAAGCACAAGATAGCACTTGTTGTTCATTTAGTACTTTTGCCTTAATGAAAATGCAATTTGGGGTGTAACATGCAAATACATTTATTTACTACACGCAATGTGATCTACCAAGCCTAATTTCACATGAGTTCAACACCCTCTGTATTTAATACGTTTGAAAGTAAGGTTTTCCTGCGGAAATTACCAATATTAGATAATATTATTCTATATTGGTGGCACGGCGGCTCACAGCAAGAAGGTCGTGTGTTCAAACCCTGGTTGCCCTGTCCTTTCTGTGCGGAGATTGCATGTTGTCCGCGTGGGTTCTCTCCGGGTGCTCCAGCTTCCTCCCTCCAAAGACAGTGGTGCACGGATCACGCGTAAAATTCATCCAGCCAGAGGGAACGATCACCAACTGTTCACAGCGCCGGTCGTAATATAGTGACACAACCCATTATAGGTATCGGAGAGGGAATGGGGCGTATAGGACCGGGGACAGGAGATCGTGGAGCGACCAGGCACGGTGCGGACGGTCAGTGATTGTTCCCTCGTGCAGGATGAAGCACGATCTGCTGGCATTTCCTTGCGTCTGGGTCATTCCATCATACTGCATCTGTTTTTGCTTGGATTTTCCAAAGCAGTTTTTCCAGGTGTGCTCTCCCCAGTACTTAGTGCAATCTCAGGCAGGATGGGCAGGTACCATTTCCACATACTCAGGACACACTGAATGAAACAAACCAAGGTTTTTACTTACTCAGTGGCTGCTTTCCTTCCCGACTCTCCATGGCGGAAACCAGTAAAACACGCCCACCTCCATTGTGTTTGCTCCTGTTGTCATCTACGCAATAATTCTTAGTAAATCACCCATAACAGGTACTAAAATTGCACGTGCAATATTTTAGAATGCACACGCAATTTAGTACTCTTTATTCGGGATGTTAGTAAATCGGGCCCTTTATGTGTAAAACTTTTACTTCCTTTTGGTCCTGCAGTCAGCCAGGCTTAAACTTTTTCAGTTCTCTCAAATGTTTTTTGAAAGTGGAGTCTGTATTAGTAAGCACTTGGTTCTGTTTCCCAATGCCAGAAACAACACAGTGGAGGTTACGCGACCCTCTAATCTGCTATATCATCCACATACTGTTTGTGACTGGTCATGATTTGAATATACAAGATGTAAGCTTAAATAGTTAAACAGTTTCTTTCCTGAGCCCTCTGCTGTGGCTCCATGTTATATTGATAGATATAGGATGGTCATAGACAAACACACAGCTGTTTGGAAGTCTAATATATCCTTGAATGTATGCTGTCATTTGCACCAGGATACCAACTGGCCTCTCTAGAAATAATTACCTCAACACAAAGGAGCGTGCCATCAAATCCCAAACAGGGATTATCATACCTTCTATGTAGATCTGTTTTTGGGTGTAGTTTCACCTCTTCGGAGTCATTGAATCAAAAAGCTCTTCACTGGCATTTGACAGTCTATTCAGGCAGTGATTTGCCTCAGGAGACAGATGAGAATTGTAGTGTTTACTCATCACAGATGCCATATAAAAGCCTCACTAGTGGTGGAAGAAATTGGCCATATGTGCGACAATTTGCTGGCTGCACTGTGAGACATTCCTTTAATGAGACATTTTTAATACAGACGGAGAAGCAGGCAGAACACTTGCTGCTCTCTGTGGAGAATGGCTTCACTATGGAAGATTGTGCTGCTGTTCCCACCAGACAAGTCTGCTGATGACCAATTCTTCCCACAGGGACTGGGGACGGGTTGAAGATGATTGTGTGCCACATTTATATATATACATATTTAAATATTGATATGATCAGAATCAAAATGTTTTTTAAACCGTTGATGACATGTTGCGGGGGCGAAGGCTTGAAATATGAAAGCAGCTATAGCCGACAAAATCAAAGAAATGAAACTGATTTTTGACACGAAGGTTATGATTCTGGATTGGAGGACGCTTCTGTGTATTGGCAGGAGACCTATGAGCCAGCCATCTACAGGATTGGGCTGTCATTGGTTTTGTCAGGGTGATATCGAGCGTGTCACAACTTACGCCTGCCAGCTGTTGACTGCCGAAGGGACCGTATTCTTTATGACTTGTCGTGTGTTTGCTGTGAAGGCATTGTTCCGGAAATATTTAAAAATCTGTTTTCAGCCAGCACTGCAAATCCATACAAATACATATGTTCAGAAGCAGTGAATGCTATTATTGTGTTTACACTTTTTCTCCACAGTCCTTTACCATTTGCTTGTATTGTGTAGCTGAATTACCTCAATTGAAAAACTGTCACAATGATGAACGCTGATTGAGTTCCTCCACTATTCAGATGAGGTACATCTGCCGAGTGGATGGAGGCTTTCTGGTTCAAACGCTGCAAGCTGGGCTGACTCGCAGGATTTTTATTTGTTTGTCAGTGGCAGCCAATCAGACACACAAGAACTGAGTTGACCTGTCAAAACAAACAGATATCATATTTGGTATGATAATCAAATATCAAAAATGTGATTTATAATTTATTATGGAAGCTCATTTCTGTCAGGAAAAGAAAACAGTAAATGAAATGTCAGGAATGGTAAACATAAATATATACCAATGAAAAAAGTCAAGATTACGAGATTGTTCAATTTTGTAAGAAATTAAACTGTCAGAATTAAAATCAAATCATTTTGACTTATTTCGTATATTTGACTTACCATGTCATACTTTCCCTTAATATTAAGTTATTAAGTATATATTAAGTGACTTAGTATCCCATAATTGTGGCTTGTCAAAAATTTGACTTGGTATCCCTTAATCTTTATTTATTATCCCATAATTTTGACTGAATTGTGAGGCACAACCATGATCTACAATGTTCCTGGTTCTGTCATTTGTTACTTGTTATTTCCCATCCTTCTCTCCCCTTGTTTCTTGTCATCTGTCTACTATCACTATCTGATAAAAGATACTTACCTGAGGCTCCGCCTAATCGAACATTGGTTCACTCTCCACTTTTTTCTTTGTTCTTTCGCAAGAAAAATGTGATGCCATGTGTTGAATCTACCAAGGCATCTCTCTCTCTCGCAGTGATGATATTATGGGATTATTTATGGTGTTTTCCAGTTGAGGTCCTGGCTCGCTTCGAGGCAGCTTGAGCTCTGGCCTCTGAACAATAGATTACTGTGATTGACAACAGTGTCCGGTTACAGCCTGCCATGTCTGTCTGCCTACTCCCCCTCTCTCCTCTGCGCTTCTGTCTTTTTATCCATTCTCCTCTGCTCTCCTCTCCCTTCCCTTCCTCTTCCCTTCTACCCTTCTAGTCTCCCTTCTTTCATCATCTGATCTCATCTAATCTTGTATCCTTTCCTCTCCTCTTCTCACCTCTCCTTTTTACTTCTTCCACTTCTATCCTCCCTTCTCTCCTATTCTCCTCTTCCTCTTCTCTTTTTCCTTTTGCTCTCATGCATCTCCTCTTCCTTTCTCTTGTCTCATCTCTTTTCCTATCCTGTCCCCTCCGGTCCTCCTTTTCATCCTGTCCTTGTCCCTTTTGTCCCTTTTCCTCACCTCCTCTTCTGTTGTTGTTTTATTTTTCCACTTTTAAAACCTCTTCTCCTCTCATCTGCTCTTTTTCCTTTTATTCTTTTCCACTCGGTTTGATTTCTCCTGCTTATCTATTCTCACCGTCCTTTTTCACCAGTGACACTACTGTCAACAATGTGATCAACATAATTTTTAGAGACGTTTAGAAACACCTATACTCACTGTATTAATCTGTTTAGTACTGCCCCAGCTTAACATTTGGTTCCTAATCTACCACAGTAAATTAGATAAGAAGAAATATTTTATTGTCACATGCTTCATCGTTAATGACAGGCTTTCATGCTCATCATTGAGAGATTCGGGCAATTTTTTCTCTTTACTTTGATTGGTGTCCATCTGTATGTCTGTCTGTATCCCTCTCTCATAACATGCATCGCTGCTTTTTGCATTCAGTTGTACTCTGCAACAGCTAAATGCATGCTTCATTCAGTCAAATCAAACTTTTGAGAATATGTCTGTATAATTTTGATTTTATACGTTTATTTGTTTTAAATTTTATGGCTTCATTTTTGCATATTTTTGTCCTTTTACTATTTTGACCTGTCCGGGTGTTACAGTGAAGGGTATTTGTGCCTCAGATGTTTCATGCCATTTATATTTTCGGCTCTTTTCTCACTGGAATTAAGATTGTTCCTGCTGCTGGTGGATCTGTT